GGGGCAAGGCCAGCTGTTCCCCAAAGTCTGGGGGCTGCCCCTGGCTCCCCTGGAACAGATGATCCGGCTCTGGCCAGTCCTCAATCCACGGGTCTAGGAATGGGATGATTGTTTTAGGTAGGCCTGGGAGGCCAGGATGCCCTGAATTCCAGCCCTCCACACTTCTAAACCTCTACTCCCTCCTCTAGGCAGGAAGTACCCTCTGCTTTCTACCCAGTTTTCCTCATTCCCTCTCATTTCAGGCCAAGCCCAAGGTGTGTTCCTTGTTTCTTGCCTTTCTCAAAAGTCAGTAGATCCGCCTTTTTCTGACCTCATGCTCCCTTCCAGAGTCTTCTCCCTTTGTTTGCCCTGCTCCTGTATCTTTAGTTTTTCCCTCTCCGAGCAACTAACTGCAGACCAGTAAATAAGTTTAATAAGCCTTCTTTCTTAAAAACATAAAGATCCTGTCACTTCCTTCTCCCAGGAGTCCCCTGGCTCCTTTCAAACTTCCACAGAGTATGATGCCCAACTTCCATTCCCTCATCAACTGCTCACTGCCTCTTTTAACCCTGCTCCAATCACTTAATACTTTTCCCGCTAAATGTAGCCACTTCCTGGCAAATTTAACAAATGCCTTTCTTCCTGATAGTCACATGACCTTGCCAATAGCCTCGTCCTCCCTGAAAGTGCCTCTACCCTCATCTCCTTTTATTTCCTCCATTAGATACTCATCCCTTCCAACTCCAAAATGTGGCCATTGTTCTGCTGTCTCCTTCGCGGTTCACGCTCATGCCCTTTAGCTTCCATCTCTGCGGACACCACTGATTCCAAATCTACTCCACACTTCCACAGTACCTCAAATAGAACTGCCCTGAGCAAACTCACCAACTCAGCCTCCCACCCAACTCTGCCTTTGACGCCCCCTATTTCTGTAGCTGCAAACTGGATTCAGAAAACCTGAGCTACTGCAATCTAGCCTTACAACCTTTAAAGAATCCCTTCTTTGCTGGGGATCAGTTCTCTCATCTAAAAAACAAGGAAACTGGACCATTATAGAATCAAAGTCCTAATTCACCTCCCTGATAATCCAACTCCTGGGTGTCAAGTCCCAGAAGTCTGCCTCTATGACATTCCTGGCCTGTCTGTGCCACCATCCTCTCCAGTGCTGCAACAAACAGCTTTCTAATACAATCTGTGCCTCCAATTCATCAAACACTATCCTGTGGAGATACTGTGCACACAGCAATCGTGCTAGACACTGGAAGCAAAAGAACTCATGACTTGTCAAGAGTGAGGCAGGAAATTTTCCCTTTGAGGACGTGATCCAAAGAAGATGTGGAAACAATCAGCCATGATGCCCCCTTTGTGAGCAGGCAGGAACTGAGAGGCTGACAGCACCAGCCAAGGGGCGTCTTTGCTTCTGCCACACTGCCTGGATTGCCATTCTTCCCTTTCTGTCTTTCCATCCTTCACTTCCATGCCTAGCTCAAATTACCCCCAATTTCTTTCCTGTTCATCTGTAGGGTAGGGATCTTTTGACATGCTGTCTTATGTACTCAACACTTGTATAAGCTCATTTGTGTACAGAGGTCACTATATGGCTAGACCAGACAGAACCAGAACTTGACTGTAATGTTGCTGTGTGATCTCACCCTCCCCAGGGGGTGAGAAAGAAGCACTCAGGGTCTACAGCAGTCCTTAAGGGGCCTCTATTCCCCTGGAACAGCTGTCCTGTTTTGTCTGTGCACCCTGTGCTATGAGGGCCCTCTCATGTGCTATCACGACCCTCCCCATTCATGATGGGGCTCACCAAGGGTGTAGTCACGCTTCGGCAGCTCCACGCCCCAGGCGTCAGCCACATGGGTCAGAAGCAAGTGTGAGAGGTGGCGGTGGGCATGCTGGTCCCAGTGGACACCGTCCCGGTGCCGGTGCCGTACTGCATGCCGGAAATGAAAGTGGAGGTCCAGGACATCAAAGCAGTGGTCCCCAGCCAGAGTAGCACTATAGAAGTTCCCTTCAACCACATCTCGCCGCAGAGAGCACGCCAGGGGCTGGAGCTGAGAGAAAGTGCAGCATCTCAGAGCCACAGAATGAAGCAGGGTGGGGAGGAAAGGTCCTCTACCAATCAACTGTCCCCTCCCTCATCCTGATGGGCTGGTCACTTGCCTCAGGCAGAAGGAAACCCCCAGTGACACGCTCCCCGAGGGGCATTGCCATGTTCCACACCAGCAGGCAGGAGTCTGGCAACACCTGGTCCATGCGCACAAATACTCGCTCTAGGTTCTCTCGGTAGCTCTCCATTGAGCAGCGGCCATACCTGTTGGGCAGCACACAGGGTGGGCAAGAGCACAGAGGTAGAGAGCCTCTGAGCCATATCTCCACCCCCCAACCAGTATATCCCTCTCCCCTTGCCTCAACCTGGACAGATCCCAGAGGCAGGAGTTGATGATCACCAGGTCCGGAGTAGGCCCATATGTCAGCTCTTCCAGGACGCCCTCGAGGTACTCGGAGTAAACTCGGGTGAGGAAGTAGAAGCGCACAAGGTGGTGGCCAGAACCGGAGCAGAACTGGCGGACCTCCCGGTACTGTGTCCCATTGTGCAGCTCGCCCAGCTGACCCCCAGCCACCAGCTGGTCCTGTTCAAAGCTCAGTTCCCCCTGCCCGCCCCCCCAGCTGGTCAGACCCATGCCAGGGAGGAGAACCCTGCCAGGCCAGGGCCTGTGCCTCCCCCCCACTGGCATTGCTACCAAACTTCCCTCACCTTGGCTTTCAGTTGGGCAGCTGTGAGCAGTGAGTCTTTCTGGAGCAGGAGCACCAGGTCCTTGTACACAGCTCGCTGAACTGCAGGGAGACAGATCACGGAGCTAAGGCAGGCCTCACCCCATCCCAGCTTCTCCCAAGTCCAGGCTCCCCATCTTCCTAGGGCTGGAGTTGCCCAACACCACTCCTGTGGAGTGTTAATTTTGAGGCAGGAGAAAAGGCAAGGTTCAAAAGTTCTGGCACTGCCACTGATCCTACTAGTTGCGCATCACCCCAACTTAGTATACAGTGACCCAACATCACCTAGCAGAAGTCAGCCAAGTCACCTGGGAGATAGACAACACAATCTGCCACTCTCATAAGGGAAATTATGGGAGATGTCAGGGAGAAAAAAAACCTCTAAGCAAGAATGGTGTGAAAAGCTTGACAGGCTACATCTGTCAGGACACCTGTGGAAGGTGCACAAGCAAATAAAACGAGAAAACCTACTAGACTGGAATACACTATGGGTCAGAAAGGAGGTTAGAGATGGAGACCAAGTGTCTAGGCTTAGAAAGCAGACTGCAGCTGCGGGACTGGGAAGTGTGATCCTAGAGGAGCACTCACTTGAGTCCCCCAAGATGACCACAAACTTGTTGTGTAGCAACTGTTGGACTTCAGAGGCCTGGAGGTGGACCATCGCGCTTCGCAGCGGGTGGCGTGGCTCCTTGTTCTCCAGACAGAAGACCATGCTGCCGTTGACTGACTACGAACTACGATGGGCTGCAGAGAGAGGCCACTTAGTCGCCAGGGGTCAGAAACTCAGGGCTGATCTGCACCAGGGCCCATCGCGGGATAAATCAGACCAGTGCCGGCCCCTCCCCAGCTGCTCAGGGCTACAGAAACCAGGCGGCAGCGATGGTGGCGGCGGCGTGGGGCCCACGGTGGCGCGCGCCTCGGTCACAGCGGGCACCAGAGGCAGGGGGTGGCGGGGCACGCAGTCCTCCAGCGCCGAGGCTCT